AGTGGTTAAACTAAAGAGTGGGGTTTATTAAAAGTGGTAGTATATTTATGGTGACAGGAAGACAGGGGGGAAAGTTATGGAGGGGTTGGGGTAATAGGGTTTGGGGTAGTAATAGGGGTAGTGATAGGGGTTGAGGTAGTAATAGGGTAGTGATAGAGGTTGGGGTAAGCCTGGGCATAGCTGAGGGGCGGTGGCAGGGATTAGCAGTAGGATGGACTAGGGTGGGTTGAGATGGGGGTTGTTTTAAGGGAGGAACGGAAGCAGGTTGTCATAGTGAGGATGATTGTGTTACGTGCAGTGGGACTGTGCTCCAGTGAAGGGGAGCCAGAAGAGAAAAGGATCGAAAGTGTTGACTGGGCGCATGGCGAGGGATGCATAGGGAGGGATAGGAGAGACTGGGAACGTAACGTTAGGTTCTGATCCACATACCACTGCTGGCAGAAGCGCCTCCAGTAGAGGGAGTTACAGAGCAGGCCCTCTAGAGCAGTGGTTCTCAACCGGGGGTACGCGGATCCCCTGGGGATACGTGGCAAAGTCCCAGGGGGTACGTGAGATGATTTATACATGTTGTGAAATAAAATCGTACATTAGAGTAATTGGTGAATACTCATGTATGAATCTGCCAACATAAAATAACTACTATACCATTTAAATCCATATGGTAACTTAGAATGCTATGAAATATCTTTCTAAACTCATTGATCGTAAACAATGTGGTTTCCAAGAGTCACCAGCGAGCACGAACAATTTACGCCATGCATGCTGAACGTTCGTTGATTTTTTGGTATTATATTGCAGTTACTAGCTAGTTAGGATACCTAACAAAATGGACAAATTGCTTAAAATATTGACGTTCATTATTCATACATTGATTTCTCAGAACCATGTTGGGTCAGGCAAAGGGGGTACTCGGTTGAAACAAAATTCAACAAGGGCTACAGTCGCCAAAAAATGTTGAGAACCACTGCTCCATGAGGGTCAAATATTTGGCCTACTCTTCCACGCTGGTCAAATGTGTTGGAAGAGGTGGACGTACCCACACTTAATCCCACCGCACGCAACCTGGGAAAGGACGAATTGTGGAGTACTGTTATACTGCTGGGTTGAAAAAGAGGCAAGGACATTTACAAAGCTTGCCCCATTATTTCATGCAACTGCCCTTATTGGGAGATTGAATGGAGGTACTATATCTGAATTGAAAGCCAACTTCATGCGATAACCACAAAAGCGCATATACCATGTAGGAGGACAGACGCAAAAACACAGGCTTGTACAATTACAGTACGTGCATTTGTGTATAGAGTATATTATTGTGTCCTTAGTGTGGTTACCCGTATTTAAATAAACAATGTTTGAACGAACGACCTTAATAAATAGCAATGCGATGAAATGACTCATAATTGACCACATTTTTTAGAATGTAAAGCCATACATTTTACTGATCTTTATTTCGTGGTAGGGTTATATAGTTCATCCATGAGTCATAAACTCAGCACAGTCGTACCCCTCTTAACGACCACTCCTGTTCATGACTAATCGCTTAACAACGGGCCTCCATAGAGCCCAATGTGTTCGCTTACCGACCATTCCCCTGTTAACGACAAGCTGTTGTAGGTACAGTAAATATTCATTAATACTTTGATTAACTATGTTTCTTTTAATAGTATGTGTTTCTGATGTTGTCAGTATCTTTATGTATTAATATCCATTGTTTGAATATGATAAAGTACTTTTTTTTGGGTGAAAAGGGGTAACTTCCAATGCCATCGGAACGAATCAAGACTTTAGCATGAATTTCCAAAACTCGCTTTTAACGACCCAACAATCACTTAACGACCAGTTTCGTGGAACCAATTACCGTCGTTAAGAGGGTTCTACTGTATCAGAATCTTTATTTTATACTGGAGAAATCCGATGAGCTGCGAAGCTCTTTTTCACAGATGTCCAGCACCCTGAACTCTACACGCACTTCCCTGAACAGCTGACATGAATACAGTGCAAGTGACTTGAGATGGGGGGGGGGGGCTATACAGTACTTAAATGTTTCATACGTCCAAATTTAATTTAAGTTAAGGAGGGCCCACAGATAAAATTGTTAGTGGATCGGTGGCTCGGTGATTAGCGCAGTGCAATATGAACCTGACGATATGAATTTGATTCCTGACCACGGGTAACCGTTAGTAGCGAGTTAGACCTAAAGCGAGATCTAGCGCTCCTGACCGGGTACTAAAGCTGCCCTGGACGGGCCCCCCACTCCAGTCACCAACCCTAACTGAATCGACCAGCACGGCATGGGCGAGGCCTTCATTCAGCAGTGGATATTAATAATGTACCGGTGAATTATCACGAATAGCTAATCTGGTTTGTTATCCACCATAAAACTTTGGGCAGTCTGTATCTGTGCTTTGACGATGCATCATCACACATATAATTACATAGTGCTCATATGCTAACATTTTAGCATCCCTTCCACCTCATTCATGTTTCAGTACACTGTCACTATTTGTCTATTACGAATGCACATTTTTTTATATGTTTTAATGCGACGCACGAATATACATTGCATTGCTCAATATTGAACGGCAAAGACGTTACCATTGCTTTTATTGAATTAAGCCTTAACTGCCTTATTTTTGTTTCAATTATTTGGTAATTCTGCTGCGTTGGGAGTTGGGTACAAGCACAATAAACAAAACTGAATGCACACATCGACACAACTATAGCCTAATATAGATAACTGGCGACGTTTCAGACAATGGCCCTTCTTCATTGGTGCTATGGAGAAGGGCCATTTCTCAAAACGTCTCCGATTACATATTATTTTTATGAAGGCAGTGGTGTTGACGAGTTTGTTGAGTTATTATTTTTTTCATCTTGACAGCTATTTCCTGCATTGTGTTTGTGTTGATGGATTGAATCGTATTTTCCAATTGCTCTATTTATTTGAACCCAGATCCACAGAAGACATATTTTTTTCCGCAAACAAATTATCCACGATTACTCTTATTCCCGCTAGCTGTAGTATTTGTAATGACTCTCGGACAACTCAAACTTTAGAGATTTCTTTACGTCTTATTTCGGCGCTTCACGCAGATAACTTGGTCAGGGATGACGCACAGAAAACTTGGTCAGGGATGACACACAGATAACTTGGCCAGGGATGACACGCAGGTAACTTGGCCAGGGATGACACACAGGTAACTTGGCCAGGGATGACACACAGGTAACTTGGCCAGGGATGACACACAGGTAACTTGGCCAGGGATGACACGCAGGTAACTTGGCCAGGGATGACACGCAGGTAACTTGGCCAGGGATGACACACAGATAACTTGGCCAGGGATGACACACAGATAACTTGGTCAGGGATGACACACAGGTAACTTGGCCAGGGATGACACACAGGTAACTTGGCCAGGGATCACACACAGGTAACTTGGCCAGGGATGACACACAGGTAACTTGGCCAGGGATGACACGCAGATAACTTGGCCAGGGATGACACACAGATAACTTGGCCAGGGATGACACGCAGATAACTTGGCCAGGGATGACACACAGATAACTTGGCCAGGGATGACACACAGATAACTTGGCCAGGGATGACACGCAGATAACTTGGTCAGGGATGACACGCAGGTAACTTGGCCAGGGATGATACACAGGTAACTTGGCCAGGGATGACACGCAGATAACTTGGCCAGGGATGACACACAGATAACTTGGCCAGGGATGACACGCAGATAACTTGGCCAGGGATGACACACAGATAACTTGGCCAGGGATGACACGCAGATAACTTGGTCAGGGATGACGCACAGATAACTTGGCCAGGGATGACACGCAGGTAACTTGGCCAGGGATGACACGCAGATAACTTGGCCAGGGATGACACACAGATAACTTGGCCAGGGATGACACGCAGATAACTTGGCCAGGGATGACACACAGATAACTTGGCCAGGGATGACACGCAGATAACTTGGACAGGGATGACACACAGATAACTTGGCCAGGGATGACACGCAGGTAACTTGGCCAGGGATGACACGCAGATAACTTGGCCAGGGATGACACACAGATAACTTGGCCAGGGATGACACGCAGGTAACTTGGTCAGGGATGACACACAGATAACTTGGTCAGGGATGACACGCAGATAACTTGGTCAGGGATGACACGCAGATAACTTGGCCAGGGATGACACGCAGGTACCTTGGCCAGGGATGACGCACAGATAATTTGGGCCAGGGATGACGCACAGATAACTTGGCCAGGGATGACACGCAGATAACTTGGGCCAGGGATGACACGCAGATAACTTGGTCAGGGATGACACGCAGTGGGATGCAAGTCAAACAACAACAACAACCACAAGAAAACTTAGATTAAGGCCGTCAGTCTATCTCCGTACTACAACAAAACAAGCATGTCCAAACCAAAAAAAAGTTTTCAAAATCACCAAAAAATAAAGCCATAATTGCAACGTAACAGTGATCACAGGGACTGTGACCGAATTTTTACAATAAACTACATAAATAACATGTAACACCAAATCCTAGAGCCATAGCTGGCTGTATGAGTTACTCCACAACAACAGAAGCATCAGTCGGAGTATCACATTTTTCAATGCACCTTTAAGATCAGCACGCTAAATAAAAAAACATGTGGTTGGCATGTGGTTGGCACAACCTTGGGTTAACGTTCTATGTATGTTGAGCTTCTTTCGCACAACCCTGCTAATCGGAGCTGCTTGGAAAGGACACAAAAACTAAACACACACAAAAACGATGGCAAGTGGTTGGCGCAACGTTGCTGGGTCAACTTTGTCTTTGTCTTTTTGTGGGGTAGTGCTGGTGGGGGCGTGGCGTGAAGGGGTGGACGGGGCGGGGCGTGAGGGAGTGGACGGGGCGGGGCGTGAGCGGGCGTGGTGTGAAGGGGGCGTGGCGTGGGCGTCGTCCTATCCCTCCCACCCACGCGGCGCTCCGCTATAAATACCGCGCGCGCTGTCGATTCTCCTCTGCCGCCTTCTCCATTCGCTCATCGCAGTATCCGGTCGACCCCCCCTCACCCCACAACATCTCCTGCTCGTGCGTCACTTCCGCTCGTCTCGTGCCGCTGTCGCCATGGGTGTCACGAAGCTGACTAACAAGGCAAGGCACCACCCCTCCCTCCCTCTCCTCTCCTCCTCCCAACACCGTGTGCGTCTCTCTGTTGGGTGTCGTCTGTCGTCTGTGAGTCGCCCTCGAGTTGTTGAGCGAAAGGCGAAGCCTGTGTTGGGTGGTTATAATCTGCGTCTCTGCCTTACCCCCTCCACACTCCACACACACCCAGCCATCGACGCCGCATTGCGTCGCGGTATCACCATCGGTCGGGGTGTTTCCCTCATCCGCGTGTAAATTTTTTTTATTTAAAATTAAAATGTTAATAAGTAATTTAGTCCGCGGGTTCGGCGTTGATTGATGAGAACATTATCCACATGCAAAGAGTGAGGGGGGCGCCCCCCCTATCCCTCGCCACGCGGGTGCGAATCGTTGGGTTGCTGGAGGTTTGTTTCACGATGGGCCTTGACTGTTTCGAATCTAAAACTATTAACTTTTTAACAACAAAATTCACCGGGTAAGTGTTCGGCGGCGAGCTTACACGGCTCTTTTTTTATTGTCGTCAGAGGCGACTTTGCCGTTACAAAATGATGGCTCGGGCGAAGTGGCTCGTCGTGTGGAAATGTATAGCAGGCGAATACTGTAAAACGCATGTTTCTAAAATGTGGAGGGAAAATCCTGCCCCCCCCACCATGACACGGATGGAAGTCCACTAGGAGAGAGAGAGACTCAAATATGAATGATAAATACGACTGCAAATAGTTATTCTTAGCTGCCAGATTTTATTGATGTCGCGGACCTGATGGGAAAGTGATTCGCATAACGGTAAAGATTCGTCTCAGGCCACCCGTGGTTTAAGCAAATCACGAAATACGCCGACCCTGTCTAATCATTCCCATGTTGAACTTTGGTCAAACAAACTCCATGCCTTTTTATAAAGTGAATTTAGCCGGTCAAGTGAGTTTGGCTATACTTGACCACGCCACCATAACAAGTTGCCTCGCTTTAATCGTACACGTGAGGGAAAAAAAAAATGTTTAACTGGATCCTTAACAAAGCACGGGAGATGTGGATACTAAATGCACAGGGGAAAAAAATATTGTGTTCAACTGTAGCTACGAATGTTTCAATTGAAAGCTTTCGTGACTGCAGGGATTAATATTCTTGGTTTTGTCGGTAAAGTGACGTAGAAGGGAAATACTTTTTTTATTATTTCCCTTCGTGATTTTTACCGAAAAAAAACAAGAATATGTGGCTACGAACACCAAACCATGGAGTATGTAGCGCCGCATTGCTTAAAATATAAATTTGAAGTGTGCGAGTGGGTGCCTACAATTCACCCACATGCAAAGCAATAAAAATGTCTTAATCACACAATTTGAACCTCCAATATCTGCACTTCAATGGCCATATGAAATCATCACCACACCTGTCAGTGAGCTGAAGGGTGGGAGGGACGGTGGGAGGGACCCCAGGACTGACCAGGCTAATATTAGCAGTCTTGATCGGGTGATTCACGTTCGGCGTGGTATGGTGATGGTCACCTAAATCAAATGCCACACGTCGTGCTGGGGGGAGTGTGTGGTATCGATGACGTCTCTTTTAGCCCGAAGTGAAAATTAGTCGAAGTGAAAACTAAAAACTAAGCTTTTTTATTTTACCAGGACAGGCACATGAATGATAGCTCAACGAAGTGGCTTATCGTGTGGAAATTTATAGCGGCCAAAACACTAAACGCATGTTGCAAAATTTGGAGGGAAAAAAACCAGGACCTGGATGAAAAATCCACGTGACCAGCCTAAAGCCCAGAGCCAGACTCATGACTGCCTCACCAGACTTGGATGTAAACCACCAAGAATGGAGGGGAGAGTCGCAAGGCAATACGCTCAAGCAAGCTTTTTGATGGGGAAGCTTCTGAGTGAATTACATGTGTAAGGCTTTTAGGGGGTAGGTTTGACTTCTTACATAACGATGTACGTGACAACACTGTATAAAAACGATTCTTGGCTCTTTCGGTGATGTCGCGTAGAAAGGAAATAATATGAATCACTGCAGTCACGAAAGCTTTAAACTGTATAAACACTTATGCAGTAACCGCTTGACTTGACGGTAAATGTGACCTAAGCGATTGTTAGAAACCCGTGTTTCAGCAAAACTTCAGCGATTGAATAATGGGACTGCTGTTTCTGAGACCCCAGTGCGTTGAAATGGGTTTACAGTGTTTGCCTAAGACTCCAGTTTGCATTGAAGTGTCTGATATTCCGGTGTCTGAATGAGATCCCAGTGTTTTGAAAGAGACCACGATGTTGGAACAGAACTCCTCTGTTAAAAATGAGACGGCACTTCTCTCTATTGCGCGTTAAAATACAATTGCGCTTCAGAGATCCTTTGGGACAGCAATACTATAATTAAATTACAATACTTTAATGGGGCGTCAGATTTTCGAGATGTTAACTACCTCGCTTGGTATACAGGAGGTCGTGGGTTCTATCCCGACCCTGACGCCTGTGTATTTGGAGTTTTCATGTTCTCCATGTGGTCGTGTGGATTTATCTCCGGGTCCCCTGATTTTTCCCCTCCACTTATACAAACATGTGTTTTAGAGTACAGTATTTGGCTGCTGTACATTCCCACATGTTTTAGGCACCTCGTTGAGCTGTCATTTGTGGCCAGGTCGCTTCCGAAAAGGCTACTGTATATAACTCAGTGGGCCTTGCCTGGTAAAATAATAAAACAATAGTATTAGTTTTTATCCGTAGGTTGGTACACAAGTTCCTTAAATTATTTCGATTCCTGCCATGGTCTATGAATGTTGTGTGGTCATTAATAGCATCTATCCAAAGGGAGTTGCTTGCTGTAGACTCTAAAGACCCTGTTGTAGATTTGAAAATCGTGGGATATCGTGACACTCATGCCACAGCCCAAATGTGGAAATGTCATAGCTTTGGCAAACGATTATAACTTTAGCACTTGGGTATTTACAATCATTGCAAGTGTACCTTGTAAGATAGGTAACGTGTCATTGGCCATGTACGGTAGTTAAAATGAAGGTGTAAATGTTTTGGCACACCTTATCCCGGGGTGTCTTGTGCATTTACTGCCATTTAGGTTTAAATTGCGCTTTCTGTTGAGGTGGGATGACTGTGCACTATTACTCGGAGATGGGCGGGGAGGGAGGGGAGGAAAGAGAGTGGGGAAGGCAGAAAGCACTACTGTTGCCTGAGCTACCTTGGAAGGCTCGGATAGGGTCCTTCAGCATGTAAGAATGGCCCTTGCCGTTTAGAGCGGAGTTGTCTGGGTCCCAGCACCTACTGTACCAGGCTCACGGAAGAACCCTCCACCCCTGACTGTACCACATCGACAAGTGACATCTTCAACACTGTGTGGAGCCCTGTGCACATGGGCAGGAAGAGCGGACAGGCCCTCGACGGGAAGCCATTCAAAACGACGAAGCTATGTTTTACTTTACCAGGTAAAGCCTACTGAGCTACATAGTTATTTTTCAGAAGTGACCTGGCCACAAATGATAGATCAACGACGTGGCTTGTCATGTGAAAATGTCTCGCAGCCAAATGCTCTAAACAGATTGTAAAGAGAAAAACAGCGGCACACACGGGAGACAGATGGAAAAGGAGACGGAGACATTGAGAGACAGATGGAGCAAAGCAGAACTGTAGAGAGGCACAAAAAATATAGAATTTTGGGAGCAGGTACATAGTCCAGTGGTTAGTACATTTCACTATGTATCCAACAACGTTTTAGCTATGGGATGACAATGGCATTGGGCAAACAACCCAATTCTGAGAAATTGTCTGCTAATTACTTAATTGGGATTATGTAGTCTTCCCCACCTCACCACTGCGAAAACCTGAGGCTTTCCTGGGTAAATAATAATAACTGCAATTGTGTTTTTAACACCTTGTGTTTATGCACATGGGTTTATTTTCCCATTTAATAATAGTTTAAGCAAACGCCAAAAATGGTAACATCATTGGTGATGAGCGATCTATCTCGTGTCCTGCCACCATAGTCACATGTTTAAATTTTGACTTAACTTTCGCGACTGCAGGAATTCATATTCTTTGGTTCTTTCGGTAAAGTCCAAAGCTTATCAAGTAGAGGGAACATGACATGGCCCATTCAGTGGCCCTGGCAAAGGTCCTACATGGTTGCTCGTGACAACATTGCAAAAAAAAAAACACTGGTACTCAATGTTTTTATCAAACCGATTTGCAAAAGTCTTTACCTTCACTGCACTAAAATAAAGGCACGAGTTTTTCTCTGGATCGTCGGGGCGATTTTAAGTGGTGGGTGCCTTTTATTCAGTGTGTGTATAGTTTAGTTCGCTCCATTGGCCAAGATGTAAAATTGTTCAAAGATGCTCACCGGCGTGATTTTGTGCATATCAGGAGTGGAAGAATCGTGTCTAATAAATTAATAGCCCACCCACCCCTTTTTCACTTGACTTTTGTTCCTCTTCCCTTGCCTTCACTTCCCCATATAAGAACCTGCAACTCCTGCCCGCAGTCCCTACATGAGTGGGGCAGCTGAGCCCAATCTCCTCCCGTTCCCAGAACCCAGGAGCGTTGAGTTCGGAATTTGGTCTACGGAATGTCTGTACCCCCCCTCCCTCCGCCACCTTATTACGGTTCGTCACTCTTACCGGGCTGTTATCAAATAAAAAAAAGAAATTAATAGCTGCATCACGCCTACTTAATACACAACTGTTGTGAAGAAATAAAAATCGTTGTAATCTGTGTTATGGCGTTTACGCCAAGGCTGTAATTATAATATATATTGGGGGTCGACACATCCCCCTCAATATTAAAATATGCTCAAAATGCCCCCCCCCCCCAATATATTGCCATAAAATAGATTTCTGTTTATATGATTGTGGTTATGGTTGTACTTTATTAATCCCTAATTTCTGCCATGACATACAATGAAACAAGAAAAGGTAAAAAAGAAAAAACAGAGCAATGTAATACAATACACTATTAGACATTATTGTAAAAAAAAAAGTCCATCTCACGTGTTAGTGAGTTTTTAAA